ATTGATTAGCTCCTGCAGATCGTCGATGTTTTCAGTTAGAATCACAGTATCGTCGGCGTACCGTATATTGTTAATTATTTCTCCTCCTATGATAATTCCTTTTTGATCTTTTAAAGCTTCCCTAAATAGATTCTCAGAATACACGTTAAAGAGGGTGGGAGATAGTATACAGCCTTGTCTTACGCCTCGTTCAATACTGATTGTCTTTGATTTTCTGTTGTTGGTATTAATAATGGCTGTTTGGTTCCAGTAAAGTTTGGCAATAATTTTGATGTCTTTCTCATCTAGTTGGATGCTCTGCAAGGCGGTAATTAGTCTGGTATGCTGAACGCGATCAAATGCCTTTTCAAAATCAATGAAGCACATATATACGGGTTTTCTTACCTCCTAACATCGTTTAAGGAGTATTTGCATATAAATTAGTGCTTCTCTAGTTCCAAGGCATCTCCGGAACCCGAACTGCTCTTGACTAATTATTTCTTCGCACTTGTTGTTAATTCGGTTTAGAAGAATATGCAACAGTATTTTAACAGCATGACTCATTAAACTACAATCGCTACATTTCTTAACGTTTGGTTTCTTAGGTAGAGGAATAAAGATCGATTTTAACCAGTCCGATGGAATTTCACTGGAGTCATATATTTGATTGAAAAGTACAGTGAGTTCTTTTATATTGTCATTTGAGAGTAATTTTATCCATTCGCTGTATATTTGATCTGGTCCACTGGCTTTGTTGTTTTTGGCTTGGTGTAATAATTTTATATATATGTATATATGTCTAATAATTTTGACCCATACATCCAGTTCACAATTGAGGTTGAAAAGACGACTCACAATATGCTTCCTGTTTGGACACAAAGTTGATTCGTTCAAACCAAAACAAAATATTTGTAGATTGGTACAGAAAGACGAAGAATATCCTGGCTTCAGAACTTAAGAGAATGGTTTGAATCCGGTAGTGCAGCACTTTTTAGAGCGGCAGTCAACAGAGAGCGGCTAGAGTCCGCATAGCCATGATGATTTCCAACCTTCGATAGAAGATGGACCTTAAAGAAGAAGGTACAGAAAGTCTATGGCCTCAGGGAGGTATTTAAATTATATCTCCTTCCGTAAACATTTTACAAAATTAAACTTAGTTAAACAAATGAAATATTGCCGAAGTATTTGTTATTATAATACAAAGTTTTTTAAGGTGTCCTGTAATAATATTGTTTTTACTTCCTTAAACCAATATTTGTTTAAAGAAAAAGAAAGTGTATTGATTGTAAAGGTACAACCTAATTATTTTCGATTGTTTCGAGTCTCTACAGTAGATATTGGTTTCTTACAAAAAACATTTTCATATTATATGCCATATACCCAATAGGTCGTTATCTCTATATGCGCTGCTTAAAACATTTTTATTAATAACTGATGGGTCCTGTTTATTATGAAACCTTTTTATTAAGTCGACAGTATTAAAGAACGTACCATTTCGCGCTGCCTACATTAATTCGGGTGTAAAAATTGATCAACACTTTTTAATTGTTCTATTTAATGTATGTAAAAAAAGAATTTCATTTCTATTTATGTTTATTTTGTTGTCCCTATGTCAATTTCTTTAGAAACCTGAAACATAAAAAAATATATTAAAATGGGCATTGGAACATATTAAACAAAAGAATATCAAAATAATAACAACACAAATTCGATTGTTAGTGCATAAGATAGAAATATACACATCACAATAATCTAGGTGACTAGGTGATCTAGGTGACATAAGTCAAAAAATGGTAACAAAAAAAACTTATTTGTTGTCCCTCAACTTCCAACAAACTAGTGTTTAGGTTAAGCTAGTATAGTGTATGACCTCCACGGTTGTTGATTACTGTCCTATAGTCCTACATCTGTAAGGCAAACTTATGATCGAATGATCAGTCTCGCTGCGATATTCTATTCTGCTCCATTAAAAGGCCCTCAAACTATTGCCGTATTCTATTGAACGCAATATTTTGATGTAAAATGCGTTTGCCTAATATGTCCCATATATGCTCAATTGGGTTTAACTCTGGCGATTATGCAGGCCATGGTAACACCTAATTTCATTATCTTCGAGGAATTTTCGCACGACCCTAACAGTATGCAGAGGCTTATTGTGGTACATTAATTGAAATTGGGGACCAACTTGTTATGAAAACAGTAGGTTCAAGAATAATATCACAATATGCATTTAAAAGCCATTCCAGACAAATGAAATTGGTTCTTTTTCCAAGAGTGATGCCACCCCATACACTTATATAGCCGTCTTGCTGTCTATGAACCTCTTGCATGGTGACCAATCGTTCAGCATTGCCAGACCGTCTCCAAATTCTTGTTCGTGTTGTATCGGGTGCATATATAAAACGGGACTCATATGTGAACAAAGTAGAGGCCCACTCACATCTAACCCAATTTCCGTGTTCTTGTGCCCACTGAAGTCAATGAGCGCGATTTACTCTGGATGACACAGGCACCTTCACAGCTCTTCGAGCATTTAACCCTACTTCATGCAGTCTCTTGCAGCCTCATTTTTAATTGTCATGCAGATTGTGGTGCAATCTCGCAAAGCCTGCAAGCTAATAAAACGGTCTTCAATCTGGTTGGTTAATCTTGTACGGCCTGTATGACAACAACAACATTACCAGTTTCTAGACGCCTTAACCATAAACGATTAATGACACTTCTGTTCGTGTGAAAAATCTCACCGACGTATCTTTGAAACTTAAATGATGTCTCTCCATTACTGGCAATTGCAAAACTAAATAAAAATCCACAGAGACATCGAAAATAAAGTATCAATATAGAAATATTATCCACAAGGAATCTACGTTCCTGTAGTTGGCTGTATACCATATATACAGTTGCTCCCATACAGTCCTCGTAGACACACCCTCTCAGGACTAACAACTTCAACGTGGAGTCATATGTCGCCATGTTACCTAATCCAACGGTAACTTAAACATCTTAAATCATTGTAAGAAATTTTGTAAACTAAATGTAATTAATTATTTGTTAACGGGTTTTTACCCATATATTTAGTGGCTACATTCATGTACTCCTAGACACTGATGATGGAATATGGATTCCGAAAACGTTTTGTTTGTCTAACTTAGCCTGTTTGGGTTCTTAAATATATACCTTTTACAAAGGATTTTTAATAAATTTATAGAAATATTACTTATCTTATATTCAAAAACACATATTGAGGTTTTGTTAAAATTTTCATAGCCATTCGTATCAGCATTACAGTCCAAGTTGGTACAATAATAACAACAAAAAGATTCATTTTTGTATATGCAGCTAACATTGATTTAAGGCTATTAATATAAGTGTCCCCTAGATTATTTTGATGTGTGTATAATAAGTGACACTATTCATCGTTCATCCGTTTTCTCAAACGAAAAATAATATTCTTTTTTGGTTTTTGAATTTTGCTTTTAAAAAAGATTTCAAAAATTTAAGACACATCTTTTAAAAATAATAAAATTAGAAAGGTAGGTTTTCTCTTTACATGCTTCAAAACGTTTTAGGCAAAAACCTCAATTTTGTTGTGGAAAATATTCCTATGACTATTTTTTTATAATCTAGATTTAAAGATGAATCCTTTCATTTTTTTTTATTTTTAAACTCAACATACAACTCGAAAACATTTATGAGGACAAGTTGCTTAGAACTTTTTTTTTTCAGAAAAAATTGTCTTAAAGAAAAAAGTTGATTCTGTTCTGACCACTTTTTTCATAGCTAAAAAATAATAGTTTTTTAACAAAGCGAAGGTTAAAGCTTGTCGCTCACTTATGCACTGCAACGCGAAGCGAAGCGCGGAGAAAAAGTTTGTTATGAATTTTCTTCATATTTATAGTTAAATATACTCGCGCGTATCTGTGCGAAGCAACGCGCTGCACCATAGATAAAGAATATATATTACCGGATAGATAGAAAACTGTGTAGGTTATTTCTGGACAATGCGCCATCTGGCGGCCTTAGGAAAGCAACATCTTTTTAAAAAACTCGTAATTTTTCAAATATAAAGATTAATTTTGAGAGTTTGATTACAAAAATAAAACAAACGTTGGTTCTTTTTCTACTTTATTTTTTTTATAAACATTAATTACACTCATAATATTAATTAATCATATTCATGATACAGTCTGTATCAAATTCGGTTGATGTTACCTGGTGGACTAACTTTGGTGTCACATTTCATAATAAAATTATATGATGAAAGAAATACATTGATAGGCCGTGTGTTCACATAAATGAACATGTTGTTGATGAAAATGTTCACAGTTAAATACCATAATTATTTAAATATGATGGCAAAAAAGCAAACAATTATTTAATCGCAAATAATACAACTCGAAACACTGTGTCGAAACCACAACAAAAATGGTGTACTTGTTTTGTTGGTTGCGGGTTGCGGTATGGTATTGCACAGTTACAAAGCTTTGTTGCGCATGCTACGCCCTCTGGTGTCCTTAGGAAATATAAATTTCAGAGGACTGTCACTCCCATAAGAGACACCAGGGCATGCGCTGCACAGCGAACAGAAGGGACACGACGGATCGCAACCGTAAAATCCTAGGCGAAGAAATTCTGTTCGACGCGCTTCGCGTTGCAGTGCATAAGTGAGCGACAAGCTTAAGTGAGCGACAATCTTTACGGCCAAAAATTTACAAAAAAGTACTCCAGATTGACAAAGTATTTAATTTAAAAGATGTGAACAAAGCTCTTAAACCTATTATTAGTTGGCAATGGAAAGGTGATTACAAAAAAAAATTGCAAATAAATCTACAAATCATTATTTTAGCATTCTCACAGTATTCAACAACCAGAACATACAAAAAGTAATATTAAAGGAAGTTGCCGACATCATCTACAATTATTACACATACGCAACATATGCAATAAATTAAACTCAAACAAAATCAAATTTTTAATCGTTGAATTCAAGCAGAACTTTTTTTATCGAAATGCAATAAAAGAATTACTAGTACCTAGCATTTATAAGATGACTGTAATCGTTGTTGATTGCCGTACCTTCTAGAACTGCTCTAGTTGTTTCGCATATAAAGTGATATTCTTCCCAGCAATCTTTATTACTCCACTGCAGTACATCATTAGTAATTTTGGCTTGTATACATTGATAATCTTTATTTGAATCTGGTTGCCCCTTTAACCAATTAAAGTAAGGTATCGTCCTGCCGGTGGTAAACCAAATCCATTTATGGGAATCTGGTAGTTTCGTACCTGACGTCCAAAACTCATCACTTTCATCCCCTAAAATATAAAAAGAATGCTAATTGAAATACTTAACCTACAAAAACCTAAATAATATATAGTTTTTGTTCTGAAGATTGAAAGGATCTTTCCTGCTAAAAAGTAAAATACTTGGGAGTACTCCAATATGCAAGGTAAACTTTTGATCAGCACGTCAAATACGTCGTTCGCAGGACAGAGGAGGAGACTGTAATCCTGACCAAGATTATGGCCAACATAGGAGAACCAGGGTCTTCCAAAAGGTGAATTTTCCACCCTACTGTACTCTACGCAGCACGAGTGTGGCAACAGGTATATTTAAGATCAATAAATACAGGATGATGCTACACAAAAGCCAAAGAACAGCACTACTAAGGGTAGCACTTTCATATAGAAAATCAACGGTAGCCATATCAAGAGTGTGTGTCCATCCACCTACAAGTGAACGAAGAAGCAAAGGCCTACGGGAAGGATAAACATGAGAAAATATAGCTATAGATAGAAAAAAAAGGGCATAACAGAGTGGCAGGAAAAATGGATAAATGAGCATAGGACGGCCTGGATGAGGGTATTAATAATTCCAAATATTGCAAAATTTTTTATCCAGTTTCGAACAGAATATGGCTTCTTCAGGACTCTGAAAAGGATAGGAAAGGTTGCAGATGGAAACTGCACAGATTGTGGAGTGGCTGATACGACTGAGTCCGGTGTATTCGAGAGGTGACTGTTTAAATAAGGACAGAAAGGAATTATACAGGTAGGAATAATTGTTACACAGAAGTAATTTTAGACTGGGATCTGCTGTAAAAACAAGAAAGATAAAGAGAAAGAGTGACAGAAAGAAAGTCAGAAGGAAAGAGAGACAAGGAGAAGAGAGAGAGAGAGAGGGAGAAAAAAGACGTGCTATTAATGTGAACATCGGTCTGGATAGCATCTAATAAATGAGTTGTCCGGGTGAGTGGGTAGACTTTAGCTGGTAGGCAGGTAGCTATGGATGTATCGGTGAGCACGACTTCTATGGGGACTATGTACGAATGGGGCCTTGCACCCTAAATTGGCCTGGTATGGTCGTTAGTAGATTTACCATTTTCTTTTCGTAAAAAAGGTTTAAAGGTATCATATTTAAAGTGTTTTATTTATTTTAAGTTAAGCGTACAAAATTTAAAAAATTTAATCATACAGTGAAAGGAACTATGAATGTAATCATGCTCCAGTAAGTATAAGAGGAAATAGAATTTTATTTCACTGTTCTGAATCTTTTAAGTCTTTCACTTATAAATTAATATTAAAATTGTTGGTTTTCTTTTCGCTACAGTCTATAGAAAAGCCTCTCTATCCCTTAGAAGACAACATCTGCTTCTATCATATGCAACCACTACATCAAGTAATCTTTTAAACCCCATTTATTTTAGTACCTCTGTATTTGAATACGTCCGCAATTACTCGCCCGTCTATTAAAGAACGCTGACCAATCCCTCACACAGCCCAGCCCTTCTCCAGTAATCTCTTTCTGCAAACCATACGATATACATTTTAAATATGAATTTTAAATAAACATATGGTTTTTATCCATTGATAATGATTTTTTACGGATATGCGAATTACCTTGTAATTTGAATGGTGAGATTTATTTAAATTTTTTATAAAATGATTTTATTGATTTATTGGAAGAATAGTCATCAAACTTATGGCGAAATATGTGGTTTATACAAGATGGTACACCATTGGCCGTGCTAATGGCCTTAGTTGTCGAGGCACTTAAACTAAATAAAAAAATTGTTGGTTTCAGTGTGGTGTAATATACTTTAAATTACCAGATTTTTTACCCTGTTTCACAATGACAGTTTTTAAGAAATCATTTTCTTCCGAAGAGCTTATTGAAACTAAATTCATTCCATGCTGTCTGCAGAATTGTTCCGATCTAAAAAAGTTGCCCTGGAACAATAATTATTATTATTAAAGAAGTAATAATGAGATATTTTTATTAAAAAAACTACAGTTATATATAAATATTCAATACCATCTGAAACTACTACATAAAAATAATGCAATTAGAGCAAAAAAAATGTGAAGCAAAGTTTAACAAATTGAGATGAAAATTTTGTACTAACGACGTATTATTATTTAAAGTTTTAAAGTAGAGTTTTTTGTGTGATGTACATTAAGATACAGTCAACAAATTAAATATGTTTTGTACATTTTTACTATAGAACATCCCAGAGGTACTTTTCAGTGCGTCACAGTTTTTCGATTTCTTTCTAATTCATTAAGTTGGATGTGACGGAGAAAGCGGTAGTTCCGTGATTAAACAGAACTATATTGCAGCGTTAGAATAAGCTTACATTATATAAGCGGTTCTTTCCTAACCTACGTTTGATTCGTTGATATTTAGATGCGCGCTTTCTCTAGCCAATCAAATACGCCTATTACTGATAGTTGACGTAAAACTTCGTCCATGCTGGCCATTCTTTCGAAGTGTTCCACCAGCAAGTAACGGCTGTCGTTCAGGTCAGTATTTGCAAAGAATATAGACGCTATATAATATATTTATATTCTTTGGTATTTGTTTTGTATAATTTTATTTTGTTTTTTGTTTTACATAGCATTGCGATTGTGGTTTTATTTGTATTTGTACAAGATGGCAAGATATACGGAAAAAGGACAAGTTCTAATATTAAAATTGCATTAATATTTTCAATTGGAAAATATAAATATTTCACCATGGAGTTATTTAAGAAAATATCTTTATAGATACATCCCCACTGGCAGTATTTTTCTATAATTTTATCTGCTAAAAGTCTAATTTTGTACATACAAACTGTAGAATCGCCTATTTTGACATTATCTGCTAGATGAACAAACTTTGTTATTTATAAATACTTGTATCTGCTCAAAGCGTTGTAGACACAAGGAAACTCCTAGGTCCTCATCCATTGACCTGATCTACTTTCATTTCTACATGGTTCAGGCATATGTTTTAAAAGATCAATTACTACTTTAGCTCCAAGTGGTATTTTTTATTATCTTCAATATCATTCGTTTTTTTTTCGCAACAAACGTGAAAACCATAATCATATCCAGTGGTACCAGTTATCATCTAATTCTTATATCCAAATCTGACGGGCTCCTCTCTAATTAATGTTTTGCTAGGTTATGACCGAAATATTTCACCATGAATTTGTCTAAGGATATATCTTTAAGGAAACTCTACACTGGCACTATTTTTCTATAATTTTCTATTACACTGATATTCAAATTCTACTTTTCAGTGTTTTCAATAAACTATTATTATTACACATTAGTGAATAAATAGTTTTTATGATTAGAATTATGTGATTTTATTTATTTACTTTATTTATGTAATTAATTTAGAAGTTACCTAATAAATTTTTGAAAACAGTATTTTTTGTGTTACTTATACTATGGCCAAAAAGCAGTAGTGAGAATAGAAGAAATAACATCAGAAGAAATAGAAGTAAAAAAAGTTGTTCGACAAGGGTGTATATATACACCAGTATTATTTAATATGTATACTCAGAAGACATATTAAAAATAAGGCAATGGATTAATGATACGTAGACATTAGAATTAATGATATGATCATAAATAACCTGAGATATGCTGATGATACAGTTCTTTTAGCTGAATCACATGAAGACCTACAGATACTTTTTAATTAGGTGACCGCAGTAAGCGAAGAAGGATATGGACCATCACTCAACAGAGCAAGAAATACGTGATAATAACAAAGACAACTCAGGACATTCGTGAGATATATGTACAGAATCAGCCTATTGAAATAGTAAGAGAATTCAAATACCTAGAAACAACTATCAATGAAAACAATGACAGCTCTCAAGAAATACGAATCAGAATCAAACAGGCCAGAAGCGCATTTACAAGAATACAACAGCTTCTCTGATGTAGAAACTTGAACCTTAAGTTACAAATACGACTGATGAGGTGCTACGTGCTACCCGTATTATATTACGGAATAGAAGCTGAAGAAAATTCACGTGAGGAGACTGAAGGCATTCGAGATGTGGATGTACCGAAGAGTACTAGATATCTCATGGGTAGATGGAATAACCAACGTTGAGGTAATGTGACATGCATAATGAAAGAGAAGTACTAACAATTAAGAGGAGAAAAGTGGGATATATGGGTCATGTCATGAAAGGAGATAAATATCTAATACTACAGGTCATTATGCAAGGAAAAATCCGGAGAAAAAGATCCAGAGGAAGGAGACGTAACTCATGTAATAACGACTTATTTAGAGCCGCTGTCTCAAAATTAAAAATCGCTGTGATGATTGCCAACTTTCGACGCGCAGACAACCCCTTGAGAAGAAGAAGATACAAAAATTCAATAAATGAATCATTTTGTCGTCAATTTCGAATGTTTCCATATTTATGAATTTAATAAACAATATTTTTTATTTTTATTAATATACGGGATTACCCCCTGTGGCTAAGTACGATCCTGAAATATGTCAGATTCTTCAATAACTATATGAAATAATGCTCGACACACCTAATTCATTATATGACGTCATAATTAATGACGCACTGAAAAGTACCTCTGGGATGTACTTTATACAAATCAATCTTGTGCCAATATTCCGAAACTACAAGGAAAATTTGGCCTTTTTTCCAAATTGAAAAGAAATTGAAAAAATTAAAAATTCTCTTAATAAAAGAGATGACGATATTTGACAAGGGGACCTCTCATAAACAAAAATATATTATAAATGAACCGACCACTAGCAAAACTTTACTTTTTACTACAAACATAATCGTTCTTACCTGAAAAATATCTCCAATGTAATAGCTTTTGTTTCCATTTGTAATTAAATGCAAAGAGGGTTGATATTGTGGATCACCTAAAAAATAATTATCTACTGTATCTATATTGTATACTGTATATATATATATATATATATATATATATATATATATATATATATATATATATATATATATATATATATATATCTATTAACTGATACTATTACAGGCATGTTACTTTACCGTTAATTGACAATAAAGGAAGATGTGAGAAGTAAGAATATAATAATATATTTAATTTAAATTTTTTCGTGACTGTCAAAGTAAAATTCAGGAGAACGTCAATTTTTGTCAAAACCAAACGTCGAAAAAAGGAAAAATTCTGTTTTACCTAGAGATATTAAACCAATAGAAAAACAACTCTTATTTGAAAGGTACAGATTAAGTGAAGCTGAGTCCGTCATTTGCGTCATTTGCATTAAGGAAAGAGGTCAGCGTTGTCAGAACATCGCAGTCAAAAAATCGTACGTTGTTGATAAAATTATCATATTTTATCGAGCGGATTATTGTGCTTACTTTTATTCAATTTAACCAGAAATTAACAAGGATAAAAACTATTATATTCAGTTTTTTGTAAAAGAAGCAAACGAAGAAAAATAAAAAACAAATTAATAAATAAACAAATAAACTTTTTATACTCAATGTAAATGATGGCAAAGACTTAAAAATTAAAAAGTAGGAAGCAAGACTTCTATAGTAGAAATCACACTCAGATAGCATTGACAGATATAGAATAGCAGCGTTGCCAAATCTACTGCCATTGTAAATTTTGTTACTTTTGTAAAATAAGCTATGTTTAAGTAAGTTAAAATTTTTAATAGAATATTCATGAATGAAATAAATGGTCAGATAATCATACATAAAACGACTTAAGATTTTAGTTTTTTTAGGAAACACTGTGATAATTTGAACCTTGGCTCAAGCCAATGCGTTGCTTATGCCCTTAGGTGGGTTTGACACGATTCATGTGTACTTTGTTAAAGTCTGCTTTAACGTACTTTAATCGTGTCACCTCTTCATCCAAATACACTTGTATCAACAGGTTCTAAACAGAAAAAGAAATTGATCTAAAAGGAAGAGTGTTGGATTCATGGAGTTATAGGAAGCTAAGGAAGCATTATGGAATATACGGATAAAGGAATATAAAAATAAGGTAGCTAGAAGTGCGGTATTTTTTCTTATTTATTCCTTTTTTCTGAATTTGAAGTTCATGTATTAAGATATCAGAACACCTTTCCAATCTCATCTGCTATTTGTACAATGTACAACCAACTTGGTACAGGTACACTTGTATAAGTGTACTTGGTCCAAGTTGGAATACAAGCATTCCTGTTCATTATTCTTGATCGTGTCAACCTGCCTTTTAGTATAGGCGGGATCTGTTTTGGATTGGACATTTTCCGTAGGAAGCTATTTTTTGTTGGAATCACTTCAGGATGTGCCCAATATCGATGTGTTTATCGATATGCGCCAGTCGCCAGTATATCACGATATGCGCCAGTCGCAAACCCTGTGCTAAATTTTTTATTTAACAAAATCTGAAAACAATTAAAAATTTCTCATTTTTTTGCTCCTATTTTCGTTTTTCGTCTTAATTCGAAAAATATTGATCCTAGAGAAAAAATTATGAAAAGTTAAAAGTTGTGGTATTCAATTTTACACAATATTTCATTAGCTAGAAATTGAAAGTTTAATGTTTATTGTTGAAAAATAGCAATAATTGGAAAAAAAAGTACAAAAAAATGAAGTTAATCCTTTAAATGTTTTCGACTTTCTAAACTTTACTTACAAGCTCCATATTCCGCCTAGAAAAAATTTTTAATATGTTTAAAACGTGTGCTAAATTTTGTTAAGATCGGTCGAATAGGTTTTGCATAATAATTTTGTAATCCAGCCTACTGGAAAAAAATCGCAAATTTTCAAATTTATTGTAGGCCCTAAATAAGGCCCTTAGATAGTTGCAATTTTTTTACATATTATAAAGGAATGCTCAATCTTTCAAACGCTTTTTGTAAAATTCAAATCGGTTCACTAGGAGAGCCTAGAAACTTTTATAAATTTACAATTTTATATTTTATAAATTTTGTATATTTAATTTTATAAGTTTACAGATCGCGTTTACGATTTAATATACAATTTATAAATACATATTTGTTTACTAAAAGTAATAATTTACTTCAATGTATAAATTCTAAGCTCAAAAAAATGAATGAAGAAAAATGAAATTACTTGTTTAACATACAATTGTTTATTGCAAATTTCCCAATTTGCAATTAACAATTGTATTTAAAAATATGATATTTAAAATCCTTGTCGTCCGAGACATCGATTCAAAAAAAAAAGAGCAAAATTGGTTAACACGAGGCCGAGATAATGCAATTTTTAGCGCGCGCTAAATTGCGAGTGAATGTCCCCCACCACCACCTCTCATGCATTCCGAGCGATATTTTACGCGAAAATGGTTGTTTATTTTTTGTCTTTTTATGGATGTTGCCATGAAGCGCATACGTAAAACTTTTCATATAAAAAGTACTTGACCAGGCAAGGGTATTTGTTTAAAAACGAGCCCTCTATCACTTACGGTTACACGGCAAATGTATGCCAACTTTGACCTTCAATACCTCGGCAACCAGTAAGCCGAAGGTATCTTTTTTTTCTAAAAGAAGCGTCTTTTAATGTTCTTTAAGTGTATAAATTTTGAAATTGATATGTTTAAAGGTTGTAAAGTTATCCAATTTTTTTTATAAGCCTAAAAAATGTTTAACACTTTAAAAAATTTTCTAGGCTCTCCTAGTGAACCGATTTGAATTTTATAAAAAGCGTTTGAAAGATTAGCCTTGCTTTGTATGTACTTTCTGGTGGCCTTTTTTAGGGCCTACTGTAAATTTGAAAATTTGCGATTTTTTTCCAGTAGGAAACAAAAAAGGAAACAAAATTTAGCACACGTTATTATTATATATTAAAAAGTTTTTCTAGGCGGAATATCGAGCTTGTAAGTCAAGTTTAGAAAGTCGAAAACATTTAAAGGATTAACTTCATTTTTTTTGTACTTTTTTTTCAATTATTGCTATTATTTTTTCAACAATAAACATTAAAATTTCTAGCTAACGAAAGGTGTAAAATTGAATAACGAAACTTTTAACTTCTTATAATTTTTTCTCTAGAATCAATATTTTCCGAATTATAAACGAAAATAGGAGCAAAAAATGAGAAATTTTCAACTGTTTTCAGAGTTTGTTAAATAAAAAATTTAGCACAGAGTTTGCGACTGGCGCATATCATGATTATCGATATTGGGCACATCCTGAAGAGATTTCAGCAAAAATGTGAATTATGGTCTGAATTTCTACAGATCGCGCCTAGTCTATTTATTGTAAAATATTAAACAGTGCGAGGTGCATTTAATTGTTTTTAGAAGTACTATTTGTAGTGGTAAATTTGTTGGTTGGAAGTTTGAATTTATATAAAAAACTTTTTAAAATTTGGTGTGTGGTGTAATATGTTATACAGATAAATTAAACTTTATCTTAAAATAATTTACACTTCGAAATAGTACTTTAGTATTTCATAATTATACATTTATTAGGGATGTGGTAATATGATGTCGCTGGCGTGAATGTGGGCAGTGGGTTTTTTATATATATTTTTTTCACACAATAAGTGAGACAATAAATTTGAGGTTAAGTTACCCATTGTGCAATGTGATTCTTTATGATTATCGTCACAAAAAGACGACAAGCAGGAAATTGGTATGACAAATCATTTTCTTACCAAATTGATCTAGATTTTGAGCATTCACATAATTACTTAAAAATGCGTTAACTAAGATAAACACGCGAACAAACTTGAAACACATACTTATAAAACTAGTTCCTAATACTGTTTGTTCAAAATACAGTCAGTCGATAAAATTATTGCCAGTAATTAACATAATAAGTGATTTATTTATGTTATTATTTACTACTTATCTTGTCGAGGTCAAAGTTTTGGGTTTTTTCTTATATGCTCATCAATTTGTATAAATGTTATTAAAATATAAATAATCTATATCTTGGAGATTCCATATAAAATCAATTTCCCATTTTTTTTATTTGGCGATATTCGACATGTAACATTTTGATTATAAAATTGTTGAAAATAAGAAACAAACTATAAATAATTATGTTTTATTATAATAATTATATAAGTAATAGTAATTTATGTCAGAGTAAATAATAAGATATCAAGTGAAATAAGTTATAGTTGTATATTATAGTTCAATTAAAAACAAAAATTGTTTTACTGAGACTAATTTTGTTTGACTTGTTTGACCTGTTCTAAAATGTGCCCGTTTATTATGCAAGGTTGAGGTACATTTTGGTTTGATCACTAATAATTATTTTCATATCGAATTGCTCAGAGACAGAGTTGGTCTTGTTGATGAGACGTTGCAGATCCAAGTCGGAAACCGCAATGAACACCGTATCATCGGTGTATCTGATGCTGTTGATAGTTATTCCATTCTCATAGACTTCACCCTTGGAATCCTCTTGTACCTTTAAATATAAACTCGAAATAAAGATTAAATAGCGGGTGTAACAAAACACATTAATTGCGACTCAAACAATTTAGATGGAGCTCTCTGAAGTTGATTCAGTCTCTCAGATTTTGCAACTAAGAGTTTCTTAGTCACTAAGTTTCTTAATAAACTGTAGCAGTCTGGATCTTGACCTTCTCATGACATTTTTAAAATATTGTAGCGTGATTAAATAAAACGAGTGGTTCGAATTTATATAAAGATATTTATTTATAATTTTACAGTTCGGTACTATCTTATCAACTTAAACCGACTCCTAACATCGCTACATATATATATATATATATATATATATATATATATATATATATATATATATATATATATATATATATATATATATATATATATATATAACAAAGTTACTATTTTCTAGAACATTCCCACCTCTAATTCGCCTACGTGACGGATTGTTCTCTTGCGTTCGAGAGATCTGTGGATGGTTCTCGATGCCTGAGATGCTGCTTCGAGATGCAACCGTTACACGGGCCACGCTGAATGCATGTTCGTAACAATATTCAATTTTTTTTATTTCTTAAAAGTTCTAAAACATTAGTCTATTACAACATTATAAATTTATAGGTTATCTAGAAATTATTGCAGTAAATCGACAAATTGATCTATCACTTTTTATAGTAAGGATGTAAAAATAAAACAAAACAATTGTTTGTTAATTCTATTTATTATTTATAAATAAAATACAAATGCCGTTGTTTTTTTTCCTTTTTATTATCTTTCTTCGGTTCGACATTGAAAGTGCTGTATAGTATCTCCTATTTTGAGATTAACTGAAAATAAATAAAAAATTAATAAATAACATATTTATGACAACTGACATAATGACAAATGAAAAACATATTTATTTTTGAACTCATACAGGGTGATATGAAGGCATCAGGCTTAAAATTACAATTTACAAAATCATATATTACAATTTCTAAATTATTTAGGCTATAAGCCAGATCTTACAAAATATCAAGTTTGACTATTTTATATTTATATTGTATTGTATTTGTGTTGTATTTATGTTGTGTTTTCCGTATGTTTCACTACATTGTACACTATACTAAGAGACTTGATAAAATAACAATGTTTTTTCCATTTAGAGGCCACTCGTACCTCAAGTGTGACAGGAACATGGGCTTAATCAGTCAAAAATCTGTAGTTGAAACTCCTTCCGAGGGTAATGAAATAATTATTGAAAACTCCAGATCCAACTGACCATTTAGAGTTATTTCTTGCGGGAACCAGGAAATATTTAAGTCATGGACTAAGTTTCTTTCTCCTTTGTGTTCAAGAGTTGTCCTTTCAAAACATGACCTGTAAGGCAACTACATCGATGGTACAATTTTGCTCTGTAAAGTCTTGAGCATATTTTGACGCACTGCCACATGCTTAAAGATTATCATTGTATCCATTATTAATAATCATCTACTATATTTGTAGCTTTGTGTAACCAACAGGAGCAGATCTGTATGATATTACTTCTGAAACTATAGACTACCTTATCTGTATTTTTAGTTTAATATTAAGACAAGTCAGTGGACCCTCATCCATTTAGCCTGAAATTTTATGACATCAAAAGATAAGTAAATTTATATTAATTTTTGTAAATGAAGCGCACTTTCCCTTTTTGTTATTTCTCAAAACTTTGTTTTTTACAATACAATACAATAAAATTACAACTAACCTATATTCCACACGTGATAAATCAGGTAATCTGGCTGCTTCGCATATAAAATAGTATTCTTTCCAGCAATCTTTACTACTCCATTGTAATTGATCATTAGTAACTTGAGCTTCTATGCATTGAGAATTTTTATTTGAGTCCGGTTGTCCCTTTAACCAATTAAAGTAAGATATCTTCCTACCCGTGGTAAACCAAATCCATTTACGGGAATCTGGTATTTTGGTACCTGATGTCCAGAATTCTTCGCCCGAACTATCTAAATTACAAAAAATATGGAAATAATATAATAAATTCACATTAAGCAAGATTAATTAAATATAATAACGATAATAGAGAATCGAATGAACATAAGATAAAACACAAAAACTAAAAATAAAAAAAAAACTGTTAATAATTTTTGTTACATGGTCCGAAGAATCTCTAGAGCTTCTTCTTCTTCATGTACCATGTCCTTTCAGATCGTTGGTTATCATCATAGCTATCTTTATTTTATTCACTGCCACCCTAAATAGCATGCTTGTATTAATACCATACAAATCTCGAAAGTTCTTTAACCATGAGGTTCTTCTTCGTCCTGGAGTGCGTTTGTCTGCTATTTTTCCTTGCATCGTATTTTGTAGCGTCTATATATATTTGGGACGTCTCATTACATGTCAGAAATACTCCAATTTTCTCTGTTTGATGCTTTTTATGATCTCAGTAGTCTTGCTGAGACGTTCTAGTATTGTGAAGTTTCGAATCTTCTCCACCCAGTAAACTTTTAAAACTCTTCTATATCACCACATTTTGAAAGCCTCAAGGCGATTTACATCGATTTTATTCACAGTCCAGGACTCGACACCATAAAGTAAGTCCAAGAACACGTAGCAGCGAAGTAGGCGGATCCTCAATGCTAATTTTAGGTCTCTGTTACATAACACCTTGGACATCCTTCTAAAAGCAGCTCTAGCCTGCTCTATCCTAGATCTAATTTCGTCGTGACTTTCTGCGTTACAATTGAATTGCTGTCCAAGGTAAACGATTTTATCAACTTGCTCCAGTTTGGTATTATTTACATATATAGACGGTCTTATATGCTGTTGTTTACTTATTACGAGTATTTTGGTTTTCTGTATGTTCAGATCCAGACCTGCCTCCCTACAACTCTCAACGACACTATCAAGTAATGTTTGCAGATCTTCTTAACTAGAAGCTAGGAGTACTGTATCTATCTCTAGAGCAGGGGTTCCCAAACTGGGGGGCGCGCAGTTTGGGAACTGACTTTACACATAAATTTGAAATCGAATGATTGAAAGAATGGAACGTAAGCCGTTCTTTTAGTAAGCAACTTCTTTGCCAAAAACGTAAGCTCTGCTCCATCAACAAATCCACTGAGAGATCCTGCGTGCAATAAAATGAACGGTGCACCACTAGCTGTTGGAGCTTTTAATCCTGTTGTAAAAAAATGTAATCGTTTTATCAACCCATTGTTTTCACACTGTGCCCGATATTTACCCATGATTCATCCAAATACACTATGATGTATCCTTCTTATATTCTTCAAAATTGAATTTCTGCCACGTTTTATCAACACAAAATCCATATCACTTAGAAAGCGATGTAGCGTGGCCCGTGAAAAGTTGGGCAACGATTCTTTGACATTTACAACAGCTAATATGGTGTTTATTGTTGGTGGTATGTTAACACGAAAAAATTGATGAATTACCAACCAGTCGCTTCTTGAGCCTGCTCTTTGAAGATTGTAATCCAGCAGGTGATGAATATTTCTGTCGTAGCCGAAACAGAGTCTTGTCGCAAATGCCACTCATTTCTAACACTTTCTTAATTACACTTAATACAGAATCGTTGTTATCCTGATTAAGATGATAATTAATATTATTCATTAGTATCTGCTTCTCTGAAAATTTCAGAGCTTTTCCACGCTTATTCCATTGAACAATTTCCTTCATTTTATGGTAAAAATTCTGCGTCACATATAACAATAGCCGACAACAGAAAATAACAATAACAAAATTTGTTACTCGAATATGTTTACGCGCTCCGAACAACAAATAAAGACTAATTAAGGCCCTGGATGTATTAAGGTTTTAAACATATTTTGTACAATAATTACTCTAATTGCTTCTGAATAAGTGAATAACTTGTTTTTTTTTGCTGACATTCCTAAGCCTGTAAAAGGTGTGAAAGAAAGTACCTTTCTGAATTTAGATCCATATACTACAATTATTCACGCAGAACAAGAAAACTACTTTCTTCATGTTAAAAATTGTTCAATTATCAAGTATATTCACTTGAACAACCTGAACATACCATTTGAAATAATATAATAAATTTTTATAATCGTGTATTACACAGCTACCAATGAAATATATTAAATAACAAACTTTCTGAAGTGCGACCCTGTGTACTTCAGTAGTTTATCTTAGGTAACCACTAAGCACTCAACCATTTTTCGTGAAACAAACTTTACAGACTAGTCACTTTAAGACAAAGTATAGTAGTTTAGTAATATATTTTATAATTTACATTACCGGAACTGTTACTCCGTTGTGTAATGATACGTTTTAGGAAGTCATTTTCTTCAGCGGAGCTTATTGAAACTAAATTCATCCCATTCTGTACGCAGAATTGTTCTGATCTAAAATAGTTGCCCTGTAAAAATAAGTATTATTATAAAATAAGTAGTAAAAATACCTCATTTTTTATTAAGAAGGGTAATCGAAAAGATCCTAACTGCTACAGAGGATAAAGTGTCCTACCTACTTTCGGGAGATTGTCTGGAAAGATAATAAATGGAAAAATACAAGATGATATAATTAATAAATGAAACTTTGGAACAGCCGGCTGGCAATTATTTGAAAATTTATAAATAAATGTCAAACGGCTGTTTTCCAAGTTTCATTTAGCAACTAAGGCTACTTTTAAAGAATGCTGGTGAACAGTTTGATCTCGGAGGGTCTAATAATTTTATGGGTCTATAAAGTGATGAGTTCGTACACGTTCCTTTTTGCGGTTTATTAAAAACGCTAAAAATAGAATCAGTAAAATCTTAGCAAAATTCGACCAAAGTCTGTTTAAAGTTACAAAGGCAAAGTTACAAGTTGAATATGGGCCGTAGAGCCAACTGAATTTTTATCCACTGACATTGTTAATGTCTACTGCAGTTGAAAATGAAACGAAAGTATAAACCTTGGTTGCCATGTATCTTTATATGCCTTACCAATGTTTTTGTTTTTCTAAAAGTTATCTGACTGTTAAACATAAAATATTTTATCTTCACAAAACTCATTTTTTTGCCTAAAGCCAAAATTATACCTGAAAAACGTCTCCTATATAATATCGTTTGTCTCCATATTCAATAAAATTTAGACCGGGTTGAGGTGCTACTAGTTTACCTAAAAAAAAATAATTTAAAAATAAAATGCCAGAATAATATGTGTTAAACAATATTCCAAACATATATATACAAATTCACGAGAGAGGATTTCAGTACGGTGCTTATAAGAAGTGACGTTGCCGCTTAGGCCGCTAGGCACGTTAATAGTCTGCAGATGTGATACAGGACCGCGTTGGCCCTCCTGTACGATAACATTAAATCATGCCATCCTATTAGAAGTAAATGTAACATTATGTACAACTTCAAGATTTTGCAAATTACACAAAATTTAATAAAACTATTTTCTTTGAAATCTCTTTTATTAAATTATACAGGGTGTAACAACACAACGGAGTCTACTAGGGAAACTGCTACAAAAAAAATTGTAGCTCCGTAGTGGCTACAAATTTAAATTGTTATTTTATATACCGACGAGATATATACCAACTTGGATCAATTATTACTATTAACAGTCTCAACAATTATTACAAAGAAAAGTGTGTATACACCAAAGAATAAAATTACATTAATAAAAGAATAAAAATTTATGTAGCCTAAACGCTACCTAATGAATAAAGATAAGACTTACAAAAACAGTGTCTGGTCTCTACTTCAATAATCACCGGTAGGATATCTTCTTGTAGGTTGTCAGCTATAAACATTTCTTTTTCAGTTCTGATGACATGCTGTATATAATTTTGCCACTGTTCAGCAGAGACATTGGCAAACGCTTCATGGATGAGTTGTTGCACACGATCATTTTTAAAGTCAGTGTTTCGGGCTGCAACGTAATGTTTAACTTGGCCTTAAACCATCTCTATTGGATTAAGCTCACAGTGATAGGGAGACAATCATAATACTTCTACGCCGTATTTCTCGACCAAAGTTTCGATGTTGTCGCATATATCTGCATAACTGTTTGCTACATCCAATAATTCTGACTTTAAATAATCTTATTCATAAAATATATCCTTCTCTCGTAACAATTCATTCTTAAATTTGTTGTTTGTTCCAGGAGCTTTTTGGGAAATTTTGTTTGCATGAATGATATGGAGCATTATCCATTACTACCACATTTTTTTCTCCTTTTGGGAAGTTTGCGATTAGTTTATTTTCAAACCTTCAAATTCTTCAAAAAGGATGTATATTTTTTTGCTAAAAATACACATTCTGAATTTGGCAGAAAGCCTCTATGAGATCCAACATGTAACAAGACAAATCTCGGACCTCTTTGTTTTGGATCATTTAGACCAGTAATCAAGCCTTTTAAAAATGCATCCTTATAGCTGGTTATGGTTGAATTCATCCATACATTATTTACTGTATATCCGATATTTACCCAACGTTCATCCAAATAGAAAATATTGTATCCTTGATTTCGATAATTCTGTATTTTTCTAAGAAATTTAGACTCCAATTTATTATGTCAGGACGTTCCATCGTTACTGCTTTCTTTCCTCTTTTTTCATAAACAAACCCCATCTCTCGCAATAGTCGATATAGAGTTTTAGGAAAACTTTTGGAAAATTTAGGCAAATTTTCGTGTAAATTAACGGCATTCAGGATAGCTTTGATTATGAGAGGTATGTTCTTTAAGAAAAATTCGATGTAAACAAGTCTTCTCGATTGGCTTCTGATATTCTCATCGTAGGTAAACTCCCGATTGGTTTCCTACTTGGTCCGTTCACGTGGGTTTTTCAGAATATTGGGTAAGTCTCCATTATGATTCAATCCTTTCTGACGAATTTTCCAGACTGTGCTATCACTAACACCCAGCACTGTACTTGTTGTAGAAACAATTCGTGTTGAAGTCAGATCTTAATTTGTTTTTGTTGTATATGTCAACATATTCAAAATAATTTGTCGCGCATATAAATCTA